ATTGTCAGATTAATTTTATTTAAACTGCATATGATTAAGAAACATATACTATATGCTACACATTGCTACCAAAATAACATTGATGGGATTTTTAATTCACAGGTTATGGGCATAAATGTTACCCTCCCCCCCAAAAAAGTATTGACCATAAAACACTAACGACCATTACAAATGACGCGAGTACATACAATGCATCCCTATATTTTTCTTGTTAACATCAATTTCTAACAAAATGATACCAAGGAAGCTTAACTGTGGGGGGGGTGCACTGTGACACCCCCCCCCCCCTCCAGCCCATGGCATATTAACACTACGGTGGGTTTCCTACGAAAGCGATTTCGTCATTGATCAGATTGCAAATCGCCTGGATATTCCACATTGTGTTTATCAACCAATCACGGCCTGGAATGGTAAACTTTGCAGCTAATAAATGCGTCTGCACGAGTCTAGTTGGTAGTGAAGAATGAGCCGTTTTGTGGTGCTTGCAAGGGTGGGTGGTCTCTCCTCTGAGAGATAAACAATGTACACTACTGTAATGCAGGCTGGCCTAGAGCTAGAGGAAGACGAACTAGGCCTATAGGCTGGCTGGGTAGTACGTGTGTGTAATAGATCAGATAACAGGAAATGTAGGCTGCAAGTTGCTTTTATGTGTATTAAACCACATAATATTCAAATTAGTAGCGATGAGTGTATGTTTGCAGCACATTTCGTGTCAATGTACTGTAATGCAGGCTGGCCTGACGAAGACGAATAGGCTGGCTGGGTACGTACGTGTGTGTAGGCCGAGGCCCTAGTCTAGATCAGATACTACAGGAAATAAATGTAGGCTACAAGTTGCTTTTATGTGTATTAAACCACACATTCAAATCAGTCAGTAGCGATGAGTGACAGCACATTTCGTGTTGCCACACTGTGGTGTGGTTGATGACGAGGACGTTGCTGTTAGATACATGATAGCATGCAAGGTCCCACATGGAATTTTGTTCTGTTGAGACGGTAGCTTTTCAGCATTGCTCTAGGATGATTTTGCTTTACATATGAATTTTTTAGCTTTTCGTACTCTACACTTGGCTATCCGTAGCCAACCATATAGGTCTAGGTACGTAATATATTAGATTTAAATCAGATGTTAATTACATAAAATGTAGGCCGACAGTCGTATTTAATGGGGCCCCCCCCCATTAAATAGACAGCGCGGAGTGGATTTCTTTTTTCGCGATTTACCCCATGGTATCCTGGCCAATAATAATGAAGTAAAACGTTATATTGGTATGACTGGGGGGGGGGGGGTTGTTTTGTACGGATGGAAAACATATTTTTGTTCGTATTTTTATCTAATAAACATTCGCATTGCTACAAAAGAAATCATTCAATAATAAATCATACGAAAAGGAATCTGAATTGTCTAAATATGTATGAAATACATAACATGTATAAAATACTAAATGAAATATGTATGAAATACTTATATCATAAACATCTACATAAATACCTTCATAATTACATATGTATGAAATAGTTTCAATGGGAATTTTTACCTGGGACGTGCGCGGAGTGGATTTCTTTTTTCGCGATTTACCCCATGGTATGCTGGCCAATAATAATGAAGTAAAACGTTATATTGGTATGACTGGGGGGGGGGAATTTAAGACAAGGTTTAACAACCACAAGAAATCATTCAATAATAAATCATACGAAAAGGAATCTGAATTGTCTAAATATGTATGGAAACTAAAAAATCAGAATACCAAATTTAAAATAGAGTGGAACATAGTAAAGCGCTCATCCGTAAAAAGCGCAGCGTTTGGTAATTGCAAACTTTGCATGGACGAAAAATTAGCTATCCTTAATGCTAATAAGACAACCCTACTTAATAGAAGGTCAGAACTGGTATCTAAATGTAGGCATACAAAATTTCCACCTGATCGTGGCTAATATGCAAAACACCTTTGTATGTAAGAGTATGTGCTAACAATCAGTCTATCTGAGGATCGTGATAGCGTGAAACGTGCATCATAGACTCCCGTCCATCGTCCAG